ATCTACGAAAAAATTTTTAGAAAATATATTTAAATCTCTACCTTCATCATTAATGCAGTTAGAATCATCGAGGGTTGACATTAATCTAGTAATCATGCTATATTGTAAGTTATGCCGGAATTGCATTGAAGATGGATTTGTGTTATTGTCCAAATGACGACGTAAAGTGCCGAATTAATTCTCTAAACAATCTTGATTGTGGCGTGACGTTAATAAATAGGATTGACCACCATGAAGAACATCTCGTGAAAGTAACGTAATTTAATTTAATGACAATTTTAATCCTGAAAAGGACGCCGGTAAATCACGCTGATTATCTGCATATTCCCACGTATTAATCCATTCTAATGATTTATCAATAAAATTTTGTACTTGAAGAGACTGAAATGAAATTTCGCGTCGTAATGGATTTCTATCTTTAACGGACTTTGCATTAAGGCAATCAAACATATCATTCATATGTTTTACAAAACTCGCGGTTGCTATCCAATTAGGCTTACTTAATGATAAGGCTTGAAACTCCGTTTTTAAAGCCGCATCTACACTCGCACTGAAAATTTGCGTTGCTAGTGATACGCGCATTTTATCCCAATTATTAGGGGAAACGTGTCTTTCACTTAAGTCCTATATAGATGTGGAATATCACAATTAAAAAAAATTTTCCTATCTTCCCACAAAATAAACGGGTCTTCTCCGGTAATCCTGAGTAACTTCACGGCTTTTTGATCATTTGACTCTTGATTACAAACCATTGATCTAATATTAATACCGGCACCAGTACATTTCGAAATACACGATTTAATGAGAATAATTAAATTTTCGCCCTTCACATCGGTGTGTGAATGAAAATATGCAACTGGTTGCTTCCACGAGAATGTCAACCCGCGAATCATAAAAACGAGAGATTTTTTCCCGCGCTTATTCGATCGACCCAGCTCCCCAAGATGTTTAAATCTTTCTACAATATCCTGCTTTAAGTTATATTCTAAAAGCTTCTTAATCGAAATTTCGTCCCACATTAAAACCGCGTCGCGTTCTCGCACTGCCATTGTGTCGACTTTCGCGCGTAGCCTATTGAATAGTTCGTCATCAACGCCGGTAAAAATATCGAGATTATTCACCCATCTCCGAATTGTACTAAGACAAGGCAATGCGATTTTTATCGTATCGCGGAGAAAAACATATGGTTTAGGAGAACCGTAGTACAGTGATACTGCAAAACGTCTTTTGGCTGACGTCCACTCTGTTTTTGAAGAAACGGAACGCTTCAACTGCATTTCTAATCTGATAAGCTGATCAGAATCTAGATAGTTAGAAGCGTCATTGATGATACTATCGGGCGTAGGACGATTAGTTTTCTGTAATTTTTTCAAATTTTTAATTGTTTGTTTTGCGTTATTATATTTTAATTCCAGTTGAGCGATTTTACGTAATAAAATTTGTTCGCGATGAGTAGGAATACGATCTTCTAAATTGAAATGCTGGTTTACAAATGATTGAATATTCGTTGATCGATGGCCATCCTGATTAGCTCCCGATTCATCGTTAGAAATCAACACGCTATTTGACGACTCTATATCTATTGATTCGGACTCCGTATCTACTAAAATATTTTCGAACGGCGTCGAAATGCTTCGCGGAATTTCAAAATTATTCGTGCTTCCAGATCGATTAAAATTATCCGTACATACCAAATTAAGTGGAGTCATTTTCGGTAGTGCATTCCAAATTAATCGTCGTCCTTAACCGTTCGGCTTACTTCCATAAAAAGCGCTGTCATCAAAATGTTCTGAACACAGACGTTTATTTTTTAATTGTTCATATGACAATTCCATCAAATCATCATTACCGCTCCGAACAATCCAATCAGTAGCACTGCAAATAATTGTAATTCTCATTTAGGTTTCTACGACTTCTTAAAATAATATAAATAATCCGACATCAGTATTGAGAAGTGAAGTCGAGTGAAAAAAAGAATTAATTCATAAATGAATCTACATTTTCTTATTGCTAACAATACTCAAGGAACTTTTTTTTTGCGAACTTTTTATTGCAAAAAAAAAAATTCCTCGAATATTGTTAGCTACAAACATGTAAAGGTCTATCTATAGATAGAATTTCGGGATTTTTTAGCTTATGAATAACAAATTAACTACGAAATAATTACTCGTTAATCAACCTACGTCTGTTTATTGTCTAATCATCTATTATAGCATCAAAACATTATTATGTATTATTGAAAAAATCTCTAAATTGTATTTATAGATAGAGCTCTATATTTTTGCAGCTAACAATGCTTAAGGAATTTTTTTTTTTGCATTTTTTTTTGCAATAAAAAATTCGCAAAAAAAAAAAGTTAAGTTTAATCTTATTGCTTATTGGAGTACGTGAACAATTTTATTACCCTAAAGAAGATCGTCCGTGCTTAGACTGTCTTTTAAAAGAAGTGTAGACGGTGCAAAAAGCTGAAGACGTAATAATTCCTTTTCTATTCTCTCCCTTTAAGCTTACTCTGGTTATCGTTGCTCTAGATTCTGAAAGTACTTTTTATTACGAGTCTACCGGACTATTTTGAGTTTTCCTGATCTCGTTTTGAGGTAATGATATTGCCCTAGACAACTTATTCCGACGAATCATTGGAACTACCTAGACCATTAAGAGTTTCGATGTAATTTTGTGAATTCTTATTGTAGTTTCTCATACTTTCCAAAAATTCAATTTGCGTCATCTTCTCAGTAAAGGAATAAAGTAGCACAGGTTTTTGAAAAATGAAATTATTACCGATTTATATGTTATAGGTATCATTAAAGTACATTAAAAGAATTTGAAATTTTTAATACATGTCATAAATATTTCACATATCAAATATAATAACAGTAGAAAGTAATTACAGAAAAATAGAACTTCATATGTAGAAAAAAAATGTTGAATAATATTTATATTCGAACAAGAATGTATGGAAAGAAACGGAGAAAAAAATTAAATGGAAAAAAAGGCTCATTTAAGATTTGAACTCGCGACCGCTGGCTTTTAAGTTATGCATAATTGAAATTGTAGATTTTTCTGCTTAAAAGTTTATTTATCTTTTATTTTGTCAAATATTTGTTTTTGATACAGATAAATAAATTCATATGTTTGAAGAAGTTAGGAAAAAAGTTAAGCAGAATCGATAGGGAATGAAATTGCGAAGAAAGAGTTCCGCAAGCATTCGTAGCTATAAGGAAATGTAGATTTATCTATGAATTGATTTTAGGGCTTTTGCAGAAGACGAAGAATGATATTTTGACACTATAATAGATAATAAACAATCTATAAATTTTATTTAAAGATCGATCTGTATACGTTTGTAGCTAACAATACTCAAGGAATTTTGTTTTGCACTTTTTTGGCAATGAAAAATTCGCAAAAGAAAAAAAAAAGTTAACTTTAATCGATAAAAAATTGAATTCTCTATCGATCTGTACATAAAATAACTTGTCATTTTCTTCACTTCCATAACTGATGCAGTGAGACTTAGAAAATGTTGTTTGAGCGTACACGCATCCAACATGAATCGAATATTTTTTTAATTCCTACTGCATCAGATATGGAAGTGAAAAAAATGACACGTTTTCATATGCACAGATCGATAGAGAATTCAATTCTATTAGTTTTTCATTTTGCTTCGATTTTGGTCCCTCAGAGGGAACCACTTTCTGTCTTCATGCTCCTCCTCCTCTCAATTATGATGCTCCGCCTTATATGCCCTCTCTTCTTCTTTATTTCGACGCTTTCTGATGCCAGCGCCGCTTGTTGCGTTTCTGTGTACTACCCTACAACTCGACTTTTTGATACGTATTTTGCCTACTTCCCCAACGTCAGTGCGGCCTCCTTATTATGTTCTCCATGGCTGGGCTGGAGTCAGAAAGTATCCCGGAGTTGACTAGAGATGTGAATCGGTAATTGACGGGTAAATTTACCGTAAATTACCGGTAAAAAACGCGTCAATGACCAAGCCTGTTTTACCATACCGGTCAGAAAAATGCTGATCTCTGATTGGTTAATACATGTCCAATCACAGTTTAGAATTCCCAACGGCATACAACTGTTTATTTGTTCTATCAGGTATATATTTTCATTTTTATTTGTTTATTAAAAATACTGATAATATTTAATATAAGAAAATTCAATTTGTAGATAAGGATTTTCATTGAGAACTTGGTGCAATGGGGGAGAACAAATCAATATATAAACATTTCTCTGCATTACCTCTGCAACCTAACCAAAAATTAAAATCGTATTCATGTAACTATTGCAAGAAAAAGTATGCAGAAAACATTACTCGCATGCGAAAACATCTTTATAAAGAGTGTAGAAGTTGTCCTCAAGACTTACGGAAACTTTTAAAACCATGTAAACCTCGTAAACGAAATAATTCTCATCTAAACAGCACAGACGACTCATTTACTATTGAAGATTTGAATGAAGCAGACAATAGAGCAAGTACTTCAATGATTTCAAATGAAAATTTACCAAATAATATAAGTGTTTGTAGCAATAACTATAAAAAAAATACAATCGATAGTTTTTGTGATAAAATGTCAAAAAAAGATGAAGATTCTCTACAAGAACTACTTGCAGAAGCGATTTATGCATCTGGTACACCATTATGTATAACAGAAAATCCATATTGGCTAAAATTTTTTAACGCATTACGGCCTTCATTTAATTTGCCATCAAGAAATCAAATATCAAATAATCTTTTAGATTCAGTATTCGTTAGAACACAAAATATGGTTAATGAAAAAATTGAATCTGCTACTACTGTTGGAGTGCAATGTGACGCATGGTCTAATATTCGCAAAGAAGGAATCATCAATTTTATTGTAACAACCCCAGCGCCAGTTTTTTTCAAAACATTTCCAACTGGAACCGAATCACAAACTGCCTTATATATTTCTGAAAAAATAGGAAGTGTTATTGATGCTTTGGGAATTAAAAAAGTTATCGGAATTTGTAAGGTATTAAAAGATTTAACAGATTATGTGTCAGAATCAAGTATGTGGAGTTACGACTACGTTAAGCGAGCAAGTATAATCACTTCAGCATGTCAATGGTGGCAAAGTATTTGCCAAAAATCTTCGTTGAGCAAAATAGCTGTGGCTATATTGACTTTACCTGCAACATCAGCTGCAACCGAGCGTTCCTTTAGTACACAAGGATGGATTCATTCATCTAAAAGAAATAAGTTAAGTATCGATAGAGCTGGAAAAATAACATACATTGCAAGAAATTTAAAATTACTTAATCCTTCACCAAAAAATACAGAAGAAGAATGGGAAGAAGATGAGGAAAGTAATAAAGGAGAGGATGAAATAAGCGAAATTTGTGCTGAGCATGAAGAAGTTGAATTTTTAGAAGAAGAATTTACTCAAGACTAATTAGTGATGTTGATGGAATTGAATCAGTATTAGACTTGTTATTTCCTAATGAAATATGTCAATTATTATGTGATATTACTAGTTGATAGAAACTATAGATTATATGGTTTTATTTTTTCATAAATAATTTACATAAAAGTTAAAAAAGTCAAATTCTTTATAATATGTAATAACGAAGGATTATCTATTTTATAAAAAAAAATGTACCAAAAACTTAACTAAATAAACGTTTATAATAATTTTCAATATATTTATTATTTCTGTCCTAACAGTCAAAAATGTAAAATATTTTTTTTATTACAAATTACAAAATTTTTTTTTCATCTTATAATAATTAATTAGTTTTAAATTAACAAGTGCAAAAAGCAAAATTAACTTAAGCAAATTGGCAAGCAAGTTCGAAAGCAAGCCATTTCCTCGGTAAAAAGCTCATCATATTCATCTATATAGATGCGAATGACCGGTAATTTACGGTAATTACGCTGACCGACGGCTTGACGGTAAATTTTACATTCAGAATTTTTTGACGTCAGAATACCGTCAGATACCGGTAATTTTACGTGGTAATTACCGAATTTTCTATTACCGGTAAATTCACATCTCTAGAGTTGATTTTACGCCCTCGCGTTGTGCGGCGAAAGGCCGAAGCTCGATATCAATTGAAATTGAGTAGGTAACAATGAAATCGTTCGAAAAATGATAATTTTCAGGGATGCACTACAATGAGGGAGCCTTAGGGCACCAAGAAATTTACAAATTTCAGAATAACCTGTTCCGAGCGAGACAGAGCAGAGAATATATCTATCTCCGTCTTATTATCTTAGCTTACTAGGGTAAGCCTGGATGGCTGGGGTCAACTGTGATCATAGTGCTGCCATCAGTCGGACTTATTTGAACCAATTTCCAATGATAATCATCCCAACCGTAGGTTTGTAATTTCTTTGTAGTTATCCAATTTTATTACCTGAAATAATTTTTTTTATTCTTAGAAATGTTGCAAGAAATGCGCTAGACAACATTTAAGAGCTGAAATTAGATAGAAAATAAATAATTCACGATTTCTTTTCATAACCTTGCAGCGGCTATCTTGGAATTGAAGCGCAGCAAATCAATTCATAATCGTTCAATTTTCCCTTTAATTTTTTAATAAAAAAAATAAGTTGTATAATCGAAATTGCTATCTAGCGCACTGCATCATAAAACAAGCTTTAATTTGGGACCAAAATTTTTAAGTAAAAACCTAAATTATCGGAAAAATTAGAAACCTACGATCCAATGTATTTAGATAGGGGGAATCAGTCGCCTCCGTGACTTCAGCCCAGCCTTAATGTCGCGTAGTGTATAGTCAAACTGGACAAAGAGGTACTATGGAACTTAGACGTAACTCGTCTTGAGTGCTTATGCGCATGCACTAGTGGTGGGGCAGTCGAGGTTACGTCTGAATTCCATAGTACCTATTTGTCCAGTTCGACTATTGTTGAACCAAAGAATACAGACCCATAGAAGCCCAGGGCAATAGGATTTAATGTCGCAGTAGAACGCTCAGTACTAACTGCGACCACAGATGTCGCAGCAGTCCAAATGAGTAGGCTGGAGATGGAGTGGCCAGCAGTCGTTGACCAAACGTCAATCGAACCAGTATTGAGTCAGTATGTAGATGAATGTTTGAATTTTTAGGTGATTTAGATAGCAGTAAACAATGATAACATGGATGAAAAAATTCATTAAAGAAACAACTAGGTAAACCACTAATCAGAGCCAGGTTATATTTCCGAAATTCTCGACTATTTCCAATTAGGATATCGCATTTTAAATAATGCAAATTTCGAATAAATGACAATGGAACATGATTTTTTCATCTTTTATAATTGAGAATTTTTTTAATTATCAACATTGAAGAATAAAAAATGGCAAAATTATGAATATCAGTCTGATGTAGAATTCTGTATAATTAAAATATCGAAAAGTCGGAAATCAAGCTCGCAGGCAATTATGAGAGCGTCCATTTTAGGGGAAAAAGTGCTTAAAACATAACTTTTCCATCTTTGAAAATTAATTACTTTGTCAATTATTAAGATTAAGAAATCAAAATTAGCAGAATTATACAAAATAGTCTAATGTATAATTCTGTATAATTAAAATAATGAAAAGCCGCGAATCAAGCTCGCGGCATTAATTATAATCGCAGCATAAAGGACATAAAAAACAATATTTTTTGCAAGAGGACAATAAATTTTAGTGATCTCCAGGTAATAATGTTATATATTCATAATCGGTAATAAAACATCTAAGAGTAGTGCCATAACATAAATTTCACACTATTCGATGTACCACCTAACCTTACTTACTAGATTGTATACATTTTTCTTGTAGACGAAGTCTAATTAACAAAATATTATCAACTCCTGGTAGAGTTTTAAGAGTGAGACTTTTTTCTAAATTCTTATAATTTTTTATGAATAAGCGGGGAGCCTATTCTTTTTATTATCCATCTCAAAAAGTTGAGAAGTCACGAGTACAGTGGTCTATCTTGCGGTAGAGACTATACTACAGGTAGTTTAGTAACTTTAGGTTAATCGGTCATTTCAATAAAAATGGAACCTGTCAGCAGAACATTCACTATTTATCGTTGAAACAAACTAAAAATAAGATTTATTAATTTTGAAATTTTCTTTTCAAGATGGAAATTGAATACTACCGTTTTGAATGGAAGGTCGGTACAGCACCTATGGATAATGAGGAGAACGTGATGGTAACTTTTTTTTCGAATATTTTTTTAATAAAAATTTTTAGGACAATATTAATATCACTAATTTATTCATGTTAGATCGATGATGCTTATAATATCCACTGCATAAAGAAGCATCCATTTTACGTCACAATTGAATTGCCCCGTACACTTATAGGACCTCGACTTATAATCTTCAGTTTGATCAATTCTTTATTACATAGTCAACTCATTGAACGCTGTGAAAAGCATACTAAATCTGATCGATTAACACAATTATGTCATAAAGCACTCCCATTAGTCATACATGAAGATCTTTCTTCGGATTACCCTTATAGGTATGCCGAGAATGGGAGTGTTGCAATCATACTGCCACCGCAACAGCAAGTACATGGAATTCCTGTTGCCATCAAGTGTTCATCAAAATGTACTCGAAAACCATTTAGTCTCATGGTATGCGTATTAAATGAAGAATTAGACGTTCCAATAAATATTCTGCCGATGCACGTTTACGAAAATCGGACGGAATTGATTGATAGCTGACATAGTTCCTACATTTCTGGTGTCAACCGATTCTTGTAAATCCTTTAAGATGTTTTTTACTATTTTTTCAGCCAGTACGCTATCTCTAAAATCAATTTGAATAGACTGTAATCGCGGGAAAATTCGCCATTTCTCGTCGTTCACTTAATATTCTAGCTATTTGAGCTCTAAATTCCGTCCGATTTTCGTAAACGTGCATCGGAGAAAGATCTTCATGTATGACTAATGGGAGTGCTTTATGACATAATTGTGTTAATCGATCAGATTTAGTATGCTTTTCACAGCGTTCAATGAGTTGACTATGTAATAAAGAATTGATCAAACTGAAGATTATAAGTCGAGGTCCTATAAGTGTACGGGGCAATTCAATTGTGACGTAAAATGGATGCTTCTTTATGCAGTGGATATTATAAGCATCATCGATCTAACATGAATAAATTAGTGATATTAATATTGTCCTAAAAATTTTTATTAAAAAAATATTCGAAAAAAAAGTTACCATCACGTTCTCCTCATTATCCATAGGTGCTGTACCGACCTTCCATTCAAAACGGTAGTATTCAATTTCCATCTTGAAAAGAAAATTTCAAAATTAATAAATCTTATTTTTAGTTTGTTTCAACGATAAATAGTGAATGTTCTGCTGACAGGTTCCATTTTTATTGAAATGACCGATTAACCTAAAGTTACTAAACTACCTGTAGTATAGTCTCTACCGCAAGATAGACCACTGTACTCGTGACTTCTCAACTTTTTGAGATGGATAATAAAAAGAATAGGCTCCCCGCTTATTCATAAAAAATTATAAGAATTTAGAAAAAAGTCTCACTCTTAAAACTCTACCAGGAGTTGATAATATTTTGTTAATTAGACTTCGTCTACAAGAAAAATGTATACAATCTAGTAAGTAAGGTTAGGTGGTACATCGAATAGTGTGAAATTTATGTTATGGCACTACTCTTAGATGTTTTATTACCGATTATGAATATATAACATTATTACCTGGAGATCACTAAAATTTATTGTCCTCTTGCAAAAAATATTGTTTTTTATGTCCTTTATGCTGCGATTATAATTAATGCCGCGAGCTTGATTCGCGGCTTTTCATTATTTTAATTATACAGAATTATACATTAGACTATTTTGTATAATTCTGCTAATTTTGATTTCTTAATCTTAATAATTGACAAAGTAATTAATTTTCAAAGATGGAAAAGTTATGTTTTAAGCACTTTTTCCCCTAAAATGGACGCTCTCATAATTGCCTGCGAGCTTGATTTCCGACTTTTCGATATTTTAATTATACAGAATTCTACATCAGACTGATATTCATAATTTTGCCATTTTTTATTCTTCAATGTTGATAATTAAAAAAATTCTCAATTATAAAAGATGAAAAAATCATGTTCCATTGTCATTTATTCGAAATTTGCATTATTTAAAATGCGATATCCTAATTGGAAATAGTCGAGAATTTCGGAAATATAACCTGGCTCTGATTAGTGGTTTACCTAGTTGTTTCTTTAATGAATTTTTTCATCCATGTTATCATTGTTTACTGCTATCTAAATCACCTAAAAATTCAAACATTCATCTACATACTGACTCAATACTGGTTCGATTGACGTTTGGTCAACGACTGCTGGCCACTCCATCTCCAGCCTACTCATTTGGACTGCTGCGACATCTGTGGTCGCAGTTAGTACTGAGCGTTCTACTGCGACATTAAATCCTATTGCCCTGGGCTTCTATGGGTCTGTATTCTTTGGTTGAACTATGTCCAGTGAAAACACGTCTAAACATGTTTAGATTCAGTCATTCGATCGAGCTGGGACGTACACTTGGCTTCATTAATGAAGGATAATTTTTTTTATTATTAGAATGAACGAAAAGTCTACCGTAATTAATAGAAATCAACGAAAGTTTTTTAAGAAATTAATGAATTATAAATTTCTATTGTCATGTTCGCACGACCACCTTAATTCTGAGACATGCAAAATGAGTAACTATTCTTTTTTTTACGAATTTCTACTAATTGTTGTTGATTACGACAGAACTTTGTACCCTATTAATACGAGAAAGAATTATTTCATGTACTAAAACATCATATTTTTAATGTTATCTCAATTTCTATACTTTTTTCAGTTCAGCCGAAGTTAAAAAAATTCTAGATTGGAAACTTATAAACTTAAATTGCATATTATTGCAATTTATACATATTAAATAAATGTTAAATCAGTTTTACTTTTTTTAAAATTTTATTACTCTTCCAATCAATGACGGAGGAGTAATAAAAAATTTAAATAGTGTAGAAAAACTTATTTCTATACAGCCCATTTCTATGCAGGTCGATTTTCTCTGACCATGGTCGAACTCGCCCTAAACATCTAAATACTATTTAATTTGGATTAGTGTAATTGTTTATCTTTATAATTGTATATAAATGACATTTCAAGACATAATATTATACGTAATTGAAAATTTTACTCTCCTGTATATTGCATAAATTATAAAGAGCTACTCCAATAAATCACAAAATTTTTCCTTTTTATGCTTTTACTATTTGTAGTAACGTAATATTTAGAAGGTAGTCTGGCCCCCAAAAAAACTACTCATTTTCTATAAATAAAGAAAAAGTATTGATGAATTTCAGTAGCTCTTTGAATTACCACTTTTGAATCGAATGTAAGATAAAAACATTTCTTTACAACATGTATCGTGTATCTAATTTTATCGAAAGTAAGTTACAGTTCATTATCGAATCTGATACGATTTCATATAATCTATTTGTTTCAAAGGGCACTTATACGAAAACATAGTTAACAATATAAGATAGACAAAGGATTACAATTACAATAATAAATTAAAAATTTAAATTTAATTATGTATCACAAATAAACTCACTGATGTTATAAAACAACGTTTATCATGAATGAATAAAATGATATTCAAGACGTTATCTCCCCGAAATTCATATGACCTGACTGTTTTGCATGTTGACTTGCAGCCGATGATCCACGTAAATAAATATTACAATCCATACATTTAAGAGTAAATTTCTGGACATCTGTATATTGATGAGAAGAAAAAGATTCTTTTGCCAATTCCATTGCTTTTAAAAGTATTTCACTGTCATTTGTAGGGAATATTGTTTGAACTGGCCCGCTCTTCAATTTGATCAAAAAGTCAAAATAAGAGTCTCAGTCATACTTCGACTTATATTACTTAAATAGATTTAACTTTTTGTACTTACATTTGGTGATTCCATATATAATGGATCATAATGAATTCCATCGAATATTAAAAAAACTCGCTGAGCATAATGTTGATCTTCACCAAATCGGTTGATATTTCCATTTACACTATTAACAACTACAATTTCTAATCCATAAAATTTTGATAAAATAGAAAGTTCGATTCCTCCACCCCATGACTCGGGTTTTAATATCCATTTGCAATATTCTTTATTCGGTTTACTCAATAAAGCTTCTGAATATTCCTCAGGATCAGCTGCGACAGTATTAGCAATAATCTCTCTCATAAAACTTGAACAATCGGAGTTAATTTTACCTGCAATTTTTAGTTATATTATTGAAACGATTACATCCGCTGAAACGAATAATATCGTAACTTACCGCCAATAACATATCCAATACTTGTAAAAAGACACGAATTATCAGCAGGAACCACTTTTTTTATAAATGTTCCAGGAACATGAGAGTTTCCATCACTAATAAGGTGTGATGATGATTGTATATTATCGTTCAAAAACTCACTGAAAACTGATTTTTCTTCAACTATAAGTGTTTCTCCAGACATTATACCGACTTCTTTTAAAGTTAATGTATCATTGCTTACTTCTAAAACTTTAGGAGGAAAACCATATAAAATATGAAGCGCTTTGGATTCAATTCCAGTAAATTCAGTCAATTTTACTTTAAGATTATAAACAGTATCAGTTGCTAATAAAGTGCTGATAATTTGATGACCAGATTTAGTTTTGATCCGTAGAAGAAAAGTATTCATTGTATAAAATGATTCAGCGAGAACGTCTACTATAAATTTGGTCTAAGAAATAATATAGATATGCACTCATTTTTTACTAGATTTTAAAGGTGTCATGGCGGATACCGCTGTCATCAGCCGTCAACGAGAAAACGATTTATTTCACAATAACCACTGTACTTATACTGTAAATCATTGTTTTCCGATGTACATACTATTGTTCGGAATATTAAAAAGAAATATTTTATAGTAAAAAAACGAATAAATAAAACACAGTTTCGCGAGAAAAATTTCAGGTGATCATTCACAGGATCGTATTTTTTCGATTCTCGACAGGTGGCGCAGCAATGGTCTCTGAAAGCATATATGTAATACTTCCTATATTGCTAGTCGGTATAGGGAGGGAGACCTAAGGGTGCTTATACATGACAACAACGGAAAGGGTGCCATAGAGTGTCCCGAATGCCAGAAATGTCTACGGCATCATTGTTAACAGAAATGAAATCCCCTAGCGTTTAAAATATACACTAACTATTATGAAAGTTTTCTTCTACACTCTACATTTGATAAAAAGTATGAAAGTAAAAAATTTCATTTTGTCCAATTGTTACGATAAATAATTGATTGTAATTTGATGAATTAAAAAAAATATATCTTTAATAAATTAGTTATAAATTAATTTTTTTAATGAAAATGATTCATTTTGTCCACATGGCATACACTAGCGCTCCTTTTAACATCTACTGCCGGTAAACTAGATTTCATGAGGTAAGTCAAATACCAACATAAAAAAACTACAAATTATTTTAAACATATTACATAGCAATTTTCTATTTTATTACTTAAATAATTACAAAAATAAATTTAAGACGCTTGGTTGAATTTTGAAAAAAAGAAAACATCTTGAAAATCTAGAAAATATTATTAGAATTACATATTTTTATTTTTTAATCCACTTAATACATGTTAGTTATTAACTTTAACTAATTTGTAAGAATATTGTTTAAAGACATTACCATTTTTAATTAACAATAAAAATAGTTTTTTTAATGTCGAATTTCTAGAACGTTTTAAAATCAAAGAAATTTATAAGAACTTTAAGAAACCTAAAAGAAAAATTTACTAAACCTTTAAATTTTTTAAATAATAAACTGATAAGTGAGAAAAATTAAATTTTTGTCTTAAAAATTCCAAAAGTAGACCAACTAAAAAAACAAATTCTTTGGAGTACTTCTCCACAAATTGAAAATTTCAAAACATGTTTTTTAATTCTCATGTTCAAAATGAACACTTTTTATTTAGAAAAACAAATTATAGAATTAATTAAGTCGATCAATGTGTTGTGGAACAGCTCTACAGATAGGACACACTAATGCTTGCTCATCTAGCCTCCAGTATCTCCTGTTTTCTGATCCTTATTATTTTTAATCAACAATAAAAATAGTATTTTCGATATTCAATTCCTGGAACACCTACAAATTAGAGAAATCATTGAAACTTTGAGCTGTATATTAAAAAAGAATGATAAACATTCTTATTTTTGTTTCTTATTATTCATAGCACGATATTATACATTGAATTACCAATATCATTACCGTTATTCTGTGATATTATTTGCACGTTTGTAAGTCCATCACCGATTTGTTTTGTGGAGAATGATTTCAATTCATGACTTGCATAAGCCAGAAATTGTATCGAATTTATCATCTGTTTTTCATATAAGTTCCATAATTTTCTTAATTGATTATTAAAAATTATGTTCTCATCTCTCCTTGCTCGTTTAACATCATTACCTATTATTAAAGTCTGATATTCCAACAATATCGTTTGCAAATGATCTTTCATACGTTCTGAAAAACATAAAATAATTTCAAATAGCATGTACTTGAATAATTTAATCATCAAAAGAAAAATTATACATAAATCCACTATTGTGACTTTTTTTTAGAAATTTTTACTCCATACCTGTAAAGCTCCATATCGATGGATGCACTTCAAGGTTCTCTTGAAGAATCCTATTATATGATTCTGCATAATTGTTCGTTCTTATATCGATACCATATACACTAAATCGATCAGGCTGTATTCTATTTATCCACTGTCGTTCATAATATTTGATAAATTTTTCAAAAAGTTTTTCTATAGATTCTGGTATGTTATTAATTAATCACTGAAAAGTTTCTTCAATCTTATCAGCTGGTAATAATGCCAACGCACAGAATTTTTTTGATAATATCCGTCCTATTTTCCATCGCTGGATGAGAGGTAATAACTGAAGTTTTTTCCACTTTTTCATTAGAGCCTATTTAATTAACAGAAATAAAATAAAATATATAGTTAACTCTCTTGCATTGAATTGGAAATTTTTTCAGTGTATATTGACCTGGCAATAGTGAAAAAAACAACGTTTATGCAACGTTCCAGGATATACTTCTTCAATCACTATTGAAAGAGCTGCTTCAAAATCCGATATAATAATATTTGGTACCAAATCAGGAACAAGAAGAGTAAAACATTTTACAACTTGACAATATGCTGAACTACTTTTCTTTTCCATTAGACTCTAAAAAATAGGGATTGCCTGAAATACCAAAATTTGAATGTATTCCACATTTTTATATTAGAACACCTATTGTTTTTTTAATTCAAAAGTAATAAGACTTACAGTATTATTCACTAATGCTAAAATCGTAAAGAACTGAAGGGCTTGTGGTTTTTTCGGCACAATTTTAAATGTAGCATCCATAAAAAGCTGCGGTGTTTTAATTATTTGTAATAACGTCCTGTTACCAAAAATCGTCACATAAGATTTGTCTTCACATTCTGAAGTTGACACGTGCATCAGACTTGTTTTATCATAGGTTTTTCTAAGAAATATCCTGCGAGGATCATCTTAAATCTTTTGATATTGTTGGAGATTCTGTGGTATTGGAGGTTGAACTTGAGTTCGCTAACGACGCATTCTGGGTTCCATAATTTTCCATGTTTTTATAGTAGCTGCTTCAAGATGTCTAAAAATATATAATTTCTGTGTAAATACATTTGTATATAAAAATGAAAATTTAATTTGTACATATACATCAGAAAATTTATACTCACAGCAAACTAATTTCATTGTAAACAGACTTGACAGATTTCAACCTGTTGTTTATGATTGCAGTATATAATGCCTTCTCAAATGCATATGTAGCATCAACTGATTTAACCTGGACATGATTATGATCAGTTAACATAAAAAACTGACCATTTACAATCTTCCCTCTACCCGGACAATATGAATTTGTTTTTTTTCTGCAGACAACGTATCTGCAATTCATTAATTTTGAATTCATTTAAATTGAAAAGAATAAAATCATTTTTTAAAAGAAGTAAGAAAAATATATTATCACTTACTTTGTTAATCCACCTTCTTTCCAATAAACATAGCAATAGCCATTGAATATTTTGTTTTCCAACTTCTCACAAATAGAAATTTTTGGTCCATGAGCAAATGATGTAATTTTCGGCATATCACTTAATGAAATAGAAGCACATTGATTATTTACACAAGCTATCACGTAAAAACCTCCACGATGTTTTACAAGCACTGTATAATAAATTCTATAAAATTATTTCTCTCGCTAATAAATTGGTAACAGATCAAAATCAAACGGCAGTTAGCAAGGTCACGTGGCGTTAATTCCTAAAGCCAAGAAAGATAGCTTCTCATTGGTCAGTAGAAAGGAGGTGGACCTAAAAATTTCACGATATAGATGACATACAGTGTACACCATAAATTAGATTTCTGAACCGTCTTTCTTTTCGATCTATCCATTGTGTTGATCAGTATACTTAGCCTACAACATATCAGCAGTGAATAGATATTTTTGAAACGTATTGTACACATTCAACAATAAGCGTTTCAAACTATCGTTCGTCAGTTGTTTTTCTGAAAAGTGTGTTCGGTGGATCGGCATTATTACGGCAAATTGGTGGACGCGATACAAGAAAAAGTAAATAATTAATAAGAAAAATAAGTTTCATAATCATTTTTTCATTATTTTTAAAATGTTATCACAGCGTGAAATCCCTATTAGAAAAATTCACAATGGATATTCATACGTAAGATATCGACAAACGGTTGATGCTATGTAAGTATTTCACAATTATTTAGTATCTATTAATTTTGTATGTTTGCTTTCATTTCCGTTTTGACTGTATGGGAAACTAGCTAATTCGTCTTAATATTTTTTGTCTTTTTAGAAAAATGTAGGGTAAATACATGAAAAAATTGGCAATTAAGTCCAGGAGATGGACACAAAATTATTATAAATAGATATAAAAAATGTTTACGTTAAGCGTTTCACAGTTTTCAATTAATAAGATCTTCGTTAAAGGATAAAAAATACATTGAAACATTAAAATGTTTAAAAAATGTGTCCATCTTCAGGATGATATCCATTTATCGATCTATTTACTCTATTTTACTCTTTGATAATCATCTCATATTATTTTAGATTTTGGCGATGTAGTCTCTATCAAAGAGAGAATCGTCGAGGTCAGTGCAAAGATATGAACAATCATTGTATTCTTATAAAAGAACACAATCATCATCAGCAAAGCAACTCGGAATTAATTTCGAACTTTCGTCAACAATTACATCAAGCTTGCGTTAGAAGACTAAACCAACATTCGAAATATTTACAATGAAATCGCCAGTCTGTAAGTTTTTCTAAAATATTTTTAATCAAAATAACGTTAAAGTTTTAACATGAAATATTTATACTTATTTAAACTAATTAAGTATCATAAATAAAGCAGCAATTAAGCTAAAACGTTGAAATTAGAGTTTCACTATTTAATTAATTTGTTTTTTAATAACTTTAGAGTTGTTAGATTTATAAAAAAAATAAAGGATCAAATGGTAACGAAATCATTAAAACATCATTTTTTAACTTTTCAAAAAAACTTGTTCAAAGTTTTAGTTAACTGCTATCTTTAATTATTTTTTAACACAAATTTGATTTTTGATATGTTTTTAAGGAATCAAGAAGCATCAGCATTAGTACCATTCCATAAAATTCAATCGTCTATGACTCGATGGCGACAAGAGAAAATTCTAGCTCAACCACCATCATTACTCACATTTCGCGCCATTGTGCAAATACAGCGTTACAATAAATTATTTATGCATAATAGAGGGAACATTATGGTAGAATTTTTAAGCTCGTTTCGATCATATCAACATAAAATTGCTGTTGGTTTCACTGATGCTAGCGTACTCCACAAACTACGCAATATCAGGACTAATCTCTATGTGGACATGACTCGAAAATTGATTCCTACGAATATGGATCTTTCCAAACTTGTTGCATGGACTATTTCATTCAGAAATCACGTAAGTTCTTACCAGCAATGGTTAATCTTCGAAGAAAGGTGATATATCTTATTTAAAATTAATGAATTTTTCATTTACAGAGCTTCCAAATAGGTTGGAATCTGATTAAAAAAACCCATAATGTATCATACCAAGAAATTACTACAGATATTTCAGAAAAATTTTTCACAAATAATATAACCATTGATCGAGTATTTTATAATTTCGATAAAAAATTGTACAATGAATTGTCTACAAATTTTCCCGAGGCTCAAATTCGAGGACTATTTATTTCTTATTGTATGGTATGTATATCACTCTCAAATAATTCAATCTTTCTTAAAATGTAATAAACGTTTCTTTTTCGTTTATTCTTAGATTAACAATAATAAGGTTATCATTTTTATGTGCAGATATTACTGGATTATGCCGACAATATTCAAGGAATAAATGTAACAAATCCTCATCATTTAATTATATTGAAAAAGTTCATAGGCTTGAGCTTATTACCTGCAAATCAGATAAATCGTGTATTTATCGATTTGTACAGTTCTATACTGAGGTCATACTGAATAATGGATTTCTAGATTTCGTGAAATACTATCATTCCAATTGGATCAGTTCTGTTGGAGTAAACAACATTTCTTTTTATCAAGAGTAATGAATCACCTGATATTTGAAAGTTCTGTGGAATGATTGTTGAATGGGTGCAATCAACTCATCGAGATCTTGATCGTACAGAAAGAGGAGAAAACAGATATATATCTGCACCATCTTTAACCTGTTGTCCTAAATCAACTGATTTAAGAGAATCATAGAGAAGACTTGATAACAATTTAATAGATACAAACACATTTTTAGCAGTTGCATCAAATTTGATCGATCAAATTGTACAAGATATATTATTCAATGGGTTAACACTTTATTCAGACTTCTCTTTAGTAAAATTAGTAGATTTAAATGAAAATCTTCCAGAGATATCTTATAATGAAAATAATGTATTTAACGAAATATTATTAGAAAATCTCCCAAGACAAAATGAGATCAGACATGGCAAGATTTTTTATTACATTATAATAATAATTTTACAATAGTAAAAAATACGAATCAGTTATGAGTGTTTTTCATGATTTCTCCAAATATATACTTTTTTCACAGGCTTAAACGCTTCATCATTGACTACACTACTATTTATTGCTCAATACTGTCATTCTTCTTACTCCTTTCAATACTTTGACATTGCTTTTTCTTCTAAATCCTGGTATTTACTTTTTTTACAAATTTAGAAGGTTATACGTACATTATATGTATATTAGTTTTCACTGATATTGGCATGACTTTTGATGACGAAAAGGATATATGTTTAAAGAAAATAATTTGTTTTTAATTCAATGAATATTTTTTCTTATAGAAAATCAAGAAAACAACGACTGCGTTGCATGCTCATCGAACAGAATTGAACACATAATGCAACCTTGTGGACATAAAGTTTATTGTTGGAATTGCCTGGAGATGAAATTATTTTATGTTTTTCAGAACGTATGAAAGATCATTTGCAAACGATATTGTTGGAATATCAGACTTTAATAATAGGTAATGATGTTAAACGAGCAAGGAGAGATGAGAACATAATTTTTAATAATCAATTAAGAAAATTATGGAACTTATATGAAAAACAGATGATAAATTCGATACAATTTCTGGCTTATGCAAGTCATGAATTGAAATCATTCTCCACAAAACAAATCGGTGATGGACTTACAAACGTGCAAATAATATCACAGAATAACGGTAATGATATTGGTAATTCAATGTATAATATCGTGCTATGAATAATAAGAAACAAAAATAAGAATGTTTATCATTCTTTTTTAATATACAGCTCAAAGTTTCAATGATTTCTCTAATTTGTAGGTGTTCCAGGAATTGAATATCGAAAATACTATTTTTATTGTTGATTAAAAATAATAAGGATCAGAAAACAGGAGATACTGGAGGCTAGATGAGCAAGCATTAGTGTGTCCTATCTGTAGAGCTGTTCCACAACACATTGATCGACTTAATTAATTCTATAATTTGTTTTTCTAAATAAAAAGTGTTTTTTTTTTTTTTTCATTTTGAACATGAGAATTAAAAAACATGTTTTGAAATTTTCAATTTGTGGAGAAGTACTCCAAAGAATTTGTTTTTTTAGTTGGTCTACTTTTGGAATTTTTAAGACAAAAATTTAATTTTTCTCACTTATCAGTTTATTATTTAAAAAATTTAAAGGTTTAGTAAATTTTTCTTTTAGGTTTCTTAAAGTTCTTATAAATTTCTTTGATTTTAAAACGTTCTAGAAATTCGACATTAAAAAAACTATTTTTATTGTTAATTAAAAATGGTAATGTCTTTAAACAATATTCTTACAAATTAGTTAAAGTTAATAACTAACATGTATTAAGTGGATTAAAAAATAAAAATATGTAATTCTAATAATATTTTCTAGATTTTCAAGATGTTTTCTTTTTTTCAAAATTCAACCAAGCGTCTTAAATTTATTTTTGTAATTATTTAAGTAATAAAATAGAAAATTGCTATGTAATATGTTTAAAATAATTTGTAGTTTTTTTATGTTGGTATTTGACTTACCTCATGAAATCTAGTTTACCGGCAGTAGATGTTAAAAGGAGCGCTAGTGTATGCCATGTGGACAAAATGAATCATTTTCATTAAAAAAATTAATTTATAACTAATTTATTAAAGATATATTTTTTTTAATTCATCAAATTACAATCAATTATTTATCGTAACAATTGGACAAAATGAAATTTTTTACTTTCATACTTTTTATCAAATGTAGAGTGTAGAAGAAAACTTTCATAATAGTTAGTGTATATTTTAAACGCTAGGGGATTTCATTTCTGTTAACAATGATGCCGTAGACATTTCTGGCATTCGGGACACTCTATGGCACCCTACTGGTAACTTATCAACTTAACTTTTTATTATGGCGTTGGGCATCATGGGGCAAGGGAAAACTACTTTTTCATCATGTTGTCTAAAAGTGATATTTTATAATAGTTTAACTGTTTGTGAGGAGACGATTCTATTATTGTATAGTATGATGTTTTTGGTTGTATATTTGTTATCGTGTTGAATCGTTTTTTTATCGTTTTTTATTTATTTATTCGGTCTAAATATCGAAATAGTAATACTGAATCTTTTATAATATTTTCAATATTCTCTAGGGGTTTTTGATTCTGATCGCTCTAGCCTAACTGGCCTTTCTTTCTTTCACATAACCCTAAAGCACCTTCGCGTAGTGTATACCTATCATTTAATAGACTTGATTGTAGTAAAATTTTTGCATATAACAATTGAATGTAAATATCTTTAATTCATGTGAAGTAAATCGAGTTATCAAACACACAATTGAGGTAAGTTACATGCAACTGTATTTTCTTTTAACGATATGAGAATCATGGGAGTTTAGACATGGATGACAAAAGTAACGTTAGCAGTTATATAGAGAAAATTACCTCCATGAGTTTAGCTAGATTTTTTGAGGTGACTTAATTATATTTACTCAATCAGGATCTAATCAGTGTTATAACATACAGTACCGGACATAAATGCTGTTTAGTTTTTTGAAGGTTATACATACAATTTCTGTTTACCCTTCTATAGAAAATCACAGAGTATTTATGTCCGGTTCTGTACATTAAAAAAAAAAGAATAAGCATTTGATGTTATATACAATTCAATATGATGTTCGTAAGACAATCCGCTATGTTTTGTATAAAGTGTTAGTTGGAGTCAACGCTTGAATTCGAGACAACTCAACACTCAGCATTTAATGAGTCAACACATTCAGTCCGAACACAACCGTACACATCGAAATCAGAGTGATGACTGTTAGGGCGCCAAAATTTAAATGAATAAAAATTAACTTGATAGTAAACAATCAAATTTATTATTACTTCTTATTGAATTAATTATTAATAATAATTAAAAACATATATTTACTAGATATTTAATAATAATAACTATGAAGCTACAGTAAATTAGGAAAAAATCTGTAATTGCTCAATCTAAAATCCACAATACAAACTCAGTTAAATTCAACAAACAATTTAACAAATAAAAAACGTCAATACACTGACAGAAAAAATGTGATAGCTAGAAAGTATACTAGCGGCAAACACAAAATATACTCAATTTGAGTATAATTATTTTTTGATGCAAGTACATTTTATATCAAAATGAAGTTTAAAGTGTACTGTACAATCATAATAACATTAACTTGATTTCAAATTTTCCATCACTCAATCCTAATATAATATTAAGGCTGGGCTGAAGTCAGAAAGGCGACTGATTCCCCCTATCCAAATACATGGGATCGGGAAATTTCTAATTTCTTCGCCAATTTACAATTATTTATATAAAATTAGGTACCAAATTACAGAGGAATTAATGCCGGACTGACGTAAACAACAATTTTTTGTGTATAGTGAATATTTTTATTAAAAAAATTAGAAAGAATAATGAAAAAATTATGAATTGACTTGCCGCGCTTAAATTTCAAGATGGCGGCCACATCATTCAGATGAAAAATCACTAATTATTTCATTTTTATACGTTTTTCGCCCAAAATTCGTGTTTGCGTCAGTCCTTGCCACCTGTCTGAATGTTAAAAAAATCAATTCATAGTATAAAATTGAATAATTTAGAAATGATTAGAAATATTGTATTCCAGATGATTTTTTCCGGAAATTAGTTTGAAAAAATTCTGATAGGTGACAGCATTATGCTCGCAGATGACCTCAGTCATCCATATTGAAAAAATGCTCAATCCGTATCCAGAACTGATGGTGCCCTGCATTTTGGCGAGTAAATTCTGCATGTGTGTGTACGGGTTATATATGTATGTGATGTAAACATAGTGTATCACTTTACAATGCCCTACACTTTGATGACTATTGCAGTTAGGATAAATAAAAATGATGATACTCATTTAACATTAATTAATATAATACCTGCAAATAACTTCAAATACATATATTTATCCATTATTATCATTTTTATTAGGTATAAATGTTAATAAGGAAGCTCAATTCCAAGTCGGCGTATCCAAGCATGTAGTATAAAAACAAATACACATAAACTCAATATCGAGATTATGCTGGCCATGTGGTTAGAGCGTCAGAGTTCTATTTTGCCGGGCAGGGTTCGATCCCAGTCACAACCAATTTTTTTTTTCTACTTTATTCGTTAGATTAGCATGTAATTATAATATTGACATGCTATAATTAATCCATGATAATGATTTGATTTTTTTTTCTCTTTACTCATTGAATTTATTGACACTAAGTCGGAAAATATTTGAACAGAGCCATAAACTTTTTTTTTGTATAAATACATTGATAATAGCCTGTGTTTAACAACTTATACATCTTTACATGTATTAACAATGTTATGTTATTAACAAGTTAATCATATTATTATTAACATTGAAAAGTAGTTTAAACAATCTGTGGCGAGTTTCGGCACTTTCCCGGCAAGCTCTACCCCCACTCTCTGTGCCCAAGCCTGCAGCTTATAATTTTTAAGCATATATAAGCGTATTGAAACCATAATAGCTCAGTGGTTACAGCATCGGTCTTTTATTTTGCTAGGCAGGGTTCGATTCCAGTCATGATAAAGTTTTTTTTTCTCTTTTATTTGTTAGATTTGCATGTAATTATAATATTAACATGCCAAAAGTAATTGTTTACAACGATTTGATTTTTTTTTTTCTCAATTATTTATGTAATTTATCGACGCCGAGTCGGAAAACATATGAACAGGGTTATAAACACTTTTTTTACTATAGCTATATGAACGTAGCTTTTTTTTAAGCAATTTAGAAATATTTAGAAGTAGTTGAAATAATCCACGGGGATTTCCGGCACTTCGCCGGCAAACTCTATCCCTACCCTTCGTACTCAAGCCTGCATTATACAATTTATAAACATAAACGTAATGTCAGAGATGATGTGTTAGCTCTGTGAGTAGAACACCAAGCTTTCATTTTACCGATTAGGGTTCGATCCCAGTCATAGCCAATTTTTTTTTTTCCTTTTTTTTTTCATTAAAATTTTATATAAATACAAAAATTGGTTGTTTATATAAGTTCAAAATCAATTCCTATTGTCTTTTAAAGACAACACTTTCGAAAAAAGAGAATTCATAGTAACTCGTTCCTCACCCTCAGCTTATTTTCAGAAAAACAAGTTGTTTTCCGTAATTAATTGAAAGAATAATTTAATCAAATATATGAATTAATTTATAAGTATATAAAGTCACTTAAGCAAAAAAAAGAAAAAACAATTGCCTATGACTAGGATCGAACCCTGCCCAGCAAAATAAAAGTTTGGTGCTCTAACCACTGAGCTATTATGGTTCCAATAATGTTAAAGATGCTTGAAAATTATAAGCTGCAGGCTTGGGCACAGAGAGTGGGGATAGAACTTGCCGGAAAAGTGCCGGAACTCGCCGCGGATTGTTTAAACTATTTTTTATTGTTAATAAGTTGTTAAAAAAGGCTATTATCAATGTATTTGTACAAAAAAAAGGTTAATGGCCCTGTTCAAATATTGTCTCATTTGTCATCGATTGATTGAAAAATAATTTTACATAAAAATTGAAATTTAAAACTCATTTTTGGCATGATAAAGTTGCAATTACATGCAATTTAAATAAAAAAACAATTTTGCCGCAATTTGAATCGAACACCGTTCGGTAAAATAACTGTCGAACCTTCTGACTATAGAGCCAGCATATTTTCATTTGCTTTGTTTACGTTTAGATATTATAAGCTTCAGGCTTGGTAACAGAGGGTGTGGAATGTGCTTGCTCGTCAACTGTTCGAACTCGCAGTCTTCTCTGAAAAATAAGACGGAGATAGATAGATGTATTCTGTGCTCTGTCTTGCTCGGAACAGATTATTCTGAAATTTGTAAATTTCTTAGTGCCCTAAGGCTCTCTTTTTGTAGTGCATCCCTGAAAATTATCATTTTTCGAACGATTTCCCTGTTACCTACTCAATTTCAGTTGATGTCAAGCTTCGGCCTTTTGCCGCACAACACGAGGGCGTAAAGTCAACTCCGGGAAACTTTCTGACTTCAGCCCAGCCTTAATTTATACCAAGAATAGCGATTACTGCATTTTTGTAAATATTTTGCTTATCTCAAGTAGGTAGATAATAAAAGAAGATTACAAAGTTTACTTCAGTTGATAATATAGTTTTCTTACACTGAGGATCTTCCTTACTTACCACAAGTGTATTTTATACGGAGATCCCGTATAAAGCGTACTTATGCTAAGTATAATGCTGTTTTACACTTCAAAAACCATGTTCTCACATTATGAATCCTTTTTTATTAATAAGAAAATACTTGTTACTTGATTCAAGTATATCAATTCTTCACTGCAAGTATATTATATACTTAAATTAAGTATACGAAGTACTCATGCTAAAATTTTTTTCTTATTAAATTTAAAAATTTCAAAATATAAATAATCATATTAATAATAAAAAAGTTACTGTTATACCCATTGGTATTGGTCAATTTAAATTAGTGACCATTACTAATGAAGTAATTTAATGATTAAATATTCAGTAATTAATAAATAGATGAAAAGTAATCTTATAATAATTACAACAATTACTGTTGTACTTTTAAATACGTGGAGCTGCTACACTTACACTGGGCCTGTTAAAAGTCTAACTCGTAATATGGCGCTCAGAGATAAATTATTGATTATAGAATCTTTAATAATAATTAATAATTAATTGCATGTCTATTAATTAATTCTAAAAATGAATCGAAATTTGACAATGATTGGAACGATTATTGTGGTACATTTCAATACCTCAAGCTGCTGCAGTAAGACTTGTTAGGAGCTTTAGGAGTTTATCTTTCAATCCAGCGTTCAGCTATAAATGGCTTAATGTTAAATCTTTAATAATCATAATAAAATTATTTAATGTTCATTGATTAATTTCGAGAAAGAATCATAATTGAATGATAATAACAACAAATTGGTGTTGTGCTTTTAAAAACTCCAAGTTGCTCCAGTTAGACTATGCCTGTAGAGTGTTTATTTTCAAACTTAGCGCTCAGAAATAAATTATTCGATATAATACCTTTGATGATGATAAATAAATGATTGATTGTATAATCATTAATTCATAGAGATAATCATAATTTTTTCATAAGTGCAACAAATATTGTTGCATATTTCAATATCTCGAGCTGCTGCCCAGTGTAAGTGTAGCAGCTCCACGTATTTAAAAGTACAACAGTAATTGTTGTAATTATTATAAGATTACTTTTCATCTATTTATTAATTACTGAATATTTAATCATTAAATTACTTCATCAGTAATGGTCACTAATTTAAATTGACCAATACCAATGGGTATAACAGTAACTTTTTTATTATTAATATGATTATTTATATTTTGAAATTTTGAAATTTAATAAGAAAAAAATTTTAGCATGAGTACTTCGTATACTTAATTTAAGTATATAATATACTTGCAGTGAAGAATTGATATACTTGAATCAAGTAACAAGTATTTTCTTATTAATAAAAAAGGATTCATAATGTGAGAACATGGTTTTTGAAGTGTAAAACAGCATTATACTTAGCATAAGTACGCTTTATACGGGATCTCCGTATAAAATACACTTGTGGTAAGTAAGGAAGATCCTCAGTGTAAGAAAACTATATTATCAACTGAAGTAAACTTTGTAATCTTCTTTTATTATCTACCTACTTGAGATAAGCAAAATACATTGGCTCACATTATACTGATTCCAAGTAGAAAGACTACTTAAATACAAGTACTTTATTTTCATAAAACTTGTATACTTATTACTTCTTCAACCGCTTGTAGTCTACTCAGGAGTGGTATATTCTGTATTTAGACTCAGTATTTTTTTTATTCATTTTAAAACGAAGTTTTACTGATTCCAGGTACTTTCTTTACCTGCCTTCCGAAACTTTTTTACCTATCACTTTTATACTGGGGACAAGTAAATTCTATAATTTGCCACCGGAAAAAATTTCTGTCAGTGTAAGTGTTAGATTTTAAATTTTGTTTTTTCCTCTTTCATTTGAATATTCTTATTTAATAAAAATTAATTGGTAATTTTCAGTTGAAACATAACAAAAACCAATGGAATTGAATCGTGAAATAATATTTAGTGTCGTAGTAATCGCTCGTCTGCATAAAACGACAAATGAAGTAAAAGCATCGATTTTAGTGTCCTGTTTGAAGGACAAAACTCAAGTCATTTTAGAAAATTGGAGTTTAGAAGATTTAGAAAACAGTCTGAAAATGAAAATTTAACTGATTTTTCAAATGATTTGGATAGGCTTGTCAAATTTGCGTATCCTTCGGTCTCTTCCGAAGAGAGAGATAGAATTGCTGGTTTGCAATTCATTTCTGGGTTAAAAAAATTGAAGTTACAATTTTCTCTTTGTTCGGAGAAAATTGAATCTCTTCAATTAGCAACTCAGAGAGCTTTAGAGCTTGAGTCGATTGAAGATTTGATCTTTGGAGGTCAGAATAAAAATAAATTTAATAATAAGAATAATAATAATTTTAGTAAAAATAATTATAATTTTAATAAAAATAATAATTTTAGAAATAATTTTAAAAAGGATGATAAAAATAATTCGTTTAAAGGAAATTTTAGGTCAAATTCCCAAAATCAAAATTCTTCGCAAATTTTCCAATGTTGGATTTGTGGTGAAAAAGAACATTCTAAGAAGAATTGTCAAGTTCTTCAAGCTGTTCAAGCTAGTTTATCAAATATTCATAATTCTAATGAGTCTACTGGTGAAGGTTGATCCAAACAAAAAATTTCGTCAAAACTAACAATTAATTCAATTGAATTTTCTTATTCTTCTGGTTGTTCTAAACTGAAACTTTTACTTAGAGGAGAAATTGATGGTAGAAAATGTATCATGACAGTTGATACTGTTGCTGATATTACGGTTGCTAATTCTTCTTTGTTTAAAGGGATGGTAACTGTTTCGAATAATTCTTCTATTTCTTATTCTATTTTTACAGTTTCAGATGATAAATTTGATTTTGATTTTATCGAGACTGTAGAAATAAAGATTTCCAATATTAAGGTTAATGTAGAGGTTGTTTTTGCTCAAATTAAAGAAGAATGTATTCTAGGATTAGATTTCTTAATCAAGTCTGGTTTATTTACTGATTTCAAAGATCTTCTTGATAAAAAATTCTCAGAAAGTAATGAAGTTGTTTCAATTAATAAAATTAGTTCTTCTTTGAATAAACTTCCAGAATTTGTTTTAGATTTGTTTGAAAGATCTTCAAAATTTTTGGATGTCAATGATAAATTTCGTTTTAAAGAACTTTTATTGAAGAACTTGGATATTTGTGCGAAAAATTCTTTTGATTTAGGAAAGTGCAAAATTTTACAACATTATATTGATGTTGGAAATGCTCTTCCTATTAAACAGGCTCCTCGTCGTATTCCTTCACATTATAGGGATAAAGTTGATTCAGTTATGGAGGAAATGAAACAACAGAATGTAATAGAACCATGTAATGGTCCTTGGGCTTCTCCTGTTGTTCTTGTTCCAAAAAAAGGTGATGAAATTAGATTTTGTGTTGACTATCGTAAATTAAACGATGTCACAGTTAAGGATTCAACACCAATTCCTCATCAAGAAGACATATTGAATATGGTTCTTGTCAAAGATTTTGCTACTATTGCAAAACCTTTATATCTTATTAATCAGGAAAAAATAATTTCATTTAGGATGATTTAGCTTTTTAAACATTTCAAAAATTGATACAAATTTTAACTTTTGCTCCAATTCCGAATTATCCTGATCCGAATTATCCTTTTGTTCTGGATACTGATGCTTCGAATGTTGGCACTGGTGCTGTGTTATCTCAGAAGATTCCAGTTAATAATAATGGTGAGACTGTTTATGAAGAAAAAGTTATTGCTTACTTCAGTAAGACTTTAAATAATCGAGAACGTAACTATTGTGTTACTAGGAAAGAATTATTAGCTGTTGTTATTTCTGTTGAACATTTTCGTCATTTTCTTCTTGGCAAGAGGTTCACTATTAGAACTGATCATGCCTCTCTCACTTAGTTACTTTCTTTCAAAAATCCTCAAGATCAAACAGCTCGTTGGTTTGAAATCTTATTTCAATATGATTTCGAAGTTCAACATAGACCTGGTCATAAACATGGCAATGCTGATGGTCTTTCTCGGCGTCCATCTGATTGTGAAAAATGTCTCAAAATAGATATTGATGAAAAATGTGATCGTAGGCATATTTTTTGTGTCATTTGTGAAATTAACAATGATTCTGATTGGATCAAATTTCAAAATGGAGATAACATTTTGAATTTAATTATAAAATTCTAAAAGGGAAATAAAGTTCCTGAGTTTAATGATGTTTCTGGAATACTGGTTCTCCTTTTAAAAGGGTTGCTATTAATATTCTTGGTCCTCTTACTAAAACTTCTTCTGGAAATAAATTTTTACTTGTTGTTACATATTATTTTACTAGATGGCCTGAGGTAATTCCTCTGCCTAATCATCAGGCTTCTACTATTGCTGAGGCTTTAGTAACTTAAATATTCTGTAAAGACGGTGTTCCTATTGAAATTCATTCTGATCAGGGTCGAGAATTTGAATCTGAAATCTTCAAGGAGGTCATGAGTCTTTTTGGTATTAAGAAGACAAGAACGACACCTCTTCATCCTCAATCAAATGGTTTAGTTGAAAGGTTGCATAGGACTATTCTTCAATATTTGTCCAAATTTATTAGTAAGAATCAAAAAGATTGGGATAAGTGGATTGGTTTATTTTTGTTGGCTTATCGTTCTTCAAAACATGAAACTACTGAGTATTCTCCAGCTTTGTTAATGTTAGGTCGTGAATTAAAGTTGCCTATTGATCTTTTTAGAAGAATTCATCCTTCAGATAATCCTCCGAAAAAGGATGCGAAGTCGGAATTTCGGAAAATTGACTCTATGAAATGCGACCATTCAACCTTACTATTGATTAAACATTGAATTTACGATAAAATAATGAAATTTTTAAAAAACTTTGATTCTGTAAGGAACTTTTATTTTGTTTAGTTCCATGACCTTTCAATTCTTGGCATTTCCTACTCTTTGGGTTTTTATGGTTCTTCTCAGTGGTTCCTCTTGATGAGGAAGAAGGAAGGAAAGGGAATTGAAGATGTAAATTTAGATTTTTAATTTTTAATTTGACTAACGAACGATTAGTTTTTAAGGAATCTTTTATTGTATAGAATCACATTATTAGTTTAATTTAGATCATTTTGGTCTGTTTGGAGATTTTACCCGCCGCAAGGTTTTTTCTTCCTAATTATTTGTTTTATTTATTTTAAAGCAAACAGAGTTGAGAAGCGGCAGTTTTAGAAGCTAGGCTGGATTTTAATTTTAGTTATTAGTAATTCATTGTTCCGTTTTATTTTACGATTGAATTATTGGCAATTTAGCACTACTCTAGTACTTCAATGGTCAATACCACTTAGGCTGTTTTGGGATGATATGCGAGCAAGGTAAAAGTTAAATAGACAGATATATGCGGTCTACATTAAGACAAGCTGTAGCCATTTAACTTTAAACATGAATGTCTTCATCAATAGGGTAGATACTAATTTCTTAAAATATTTAGTAAACTACACTAACTCCACCTTGTACACCTATAAAATGCATGTTCCATGACTTGGTGGAAAGTCAAAATAAGCCAATCGAGCTAATAGTTTTCCAGGTAACAATGTTCGCTTAGTTTCCATATTGAAGCGATTATAAGCGGAGTAAATTATTGTAAAAGTTGGAGCATTTATATCAGTATAACATATTGTGTTGTTTCGGAGTTCAAATCTGGATATGAAGTGAATCATGAAAAAAGCATTTTGTTCCATGTGCCAAAAGATATCAAACTACGGAAAAAACGGCAGATTGCAATGCGTCGACAAAAATTAAAGGCGAATCACCAAGTCTGCATTAGGCATTTTCGAAAATAAGAAGTTCTTTTGGAAAAAAAAATTTAAAAAACAGGATAGTAACGTATTAGTTGTGGTAAGTTCTTAACAATCATACATACATCGTTATCTATAAAAGTTAAAATACAAATACATAGGATCGTAGTTTTCTAATTTCTTCGCCAATTTATATTTTTACTTGAAAATTTTGGTCCCAAATTAGAGCTTGTTTTATGATGTAATGCGCTAGATAGCAATTTCAATCATTCAATTATTTTTTTAATAAAAAAATTGAAAAGAAAATTAAATAATTACCCTGCTTAAACAATCTTATTAGAAGAAAGGAGTTCAATAGAAAAATTGCATCGGAAATTTCCTATTCAATCCTATTGAAAGTTTTGGTTTTTCCTATAGAAATCGCTTTAATCCTATTCAGATGTCCTATTAAAATATGCTGAATCCTATTTAACTTCCCAATAGGATATAATACAACTCAATGGGAATACTGTTATCTCAGATTTTCCTATAGAATGATGCAGAATCCCATTCGATTTTTCAATAGGATTTTAGTGAATTTAATAGAATCTCATTACAACAAAAAAATTCTTTCAAACGGAAGGAAATTTTAATTCGCTCTGGAGGTTCTTTGTTTATACGAATTCGTTGTTTAAATATACACCTAGAATGAAATTTATTTAAAACTCATGAAATTAAACCAAATGATAACAAATTTCAAGTTAGTATTGTTTATTTAATGACATTTTTTTACTTAGTTATTTGCTTACCTCTGTCATTATCTGTTATTATAAATATTCTTAATAATGTAGATCATTAACGAAGCTTTGACGACTTTAAACTTGCTGACTACAAACACTGTAGAGCGACTACCGGTAACTTGAACATCTATGCCGTTTACAAAGTTGGAGTATTGATGGGACGAGTCAATCCGACTCTTTGAAGGTATTATGAGAGACAATTACAAATAGGAGGAGCAAATGATCATCGTGTCGTAAATACAGAAGTCATATAGGTATTTTTATTAATATATCGATTATTGCT